ACAATATATATTTAAACAATAAATATCACATAAAAATAACTTGTATGAATAATATAACTTGTATTTCCATTTATCTACATATTTAAAAAGCAGATGAATCACAGTTTTTTCAGTTTCAGTTTTACTGAACAACAATACAGTTTGAATTATAAAGCAGAGAAACTGCTTTTCAAAAACATGATAGGTTTATTTTACTGTATGTACATATTGTTCTCTCGCAGATACATTTTACAGGATTAGTACATCGCTCATCTTTCCAGCCTGTTGAGGACATGCAAGCACAATCACTGTGTGAAGATGGAGACCAAGGCCTCCAGTACCTGAAACAACAATAAAGCTTAGACTTAGTTATGAGTATAATATGATACCGACTGTAGAAAAGGTTTCAGGCTAATGTTAAATTCAGTGATTTCTCACCCATTTGCCAATGTTCCACCATCAGTCCATTTCCAGACTACTGATTTTTTCAGACCAATCCAAAAATAACCACTCCCAACAACCTTCAGTAAAAACTCCTGTTATGATAAAACAGTAATATATTTAATCTTTAAATTGCAGTGGCCGAGAGAGCTCAATGGGGTGCAACTGAAGAAAACACATGCAAATAGAAAACAAACAGCAGCAAATTAAGAAAAAAATCTTCATCAGTTTGACAACACGTGTGCTGCAAATACTCACAATGCAAGCAAATATACCTTCCTCTCACCGCATAATACAGAACAAGCTGTGTTTGTCAACGTGCACAAACAAACTCAAAATGTCTTTGCTTTGTCACTCACTTGTTCCTCTCTGCTGTTTATGATCACCAGATCTGCTCCTCTCTGCTGACAGTCTAGTCTGCTGTCACTCCAGCTCTTCCACTCAGATGAAATATAATAAAAGCTGAAGTTGTAGTAAATCCATTTAAAGTTGTCAGCACGCTGATCTGTTAATAGAAGCTGTTATTAAATAAGTATTTTTTAATACTTGAGGGCAATTCAAGAGAAACTTACCTTGTTCATAAAGCCAACGATGCAGTAGCAACTTGTAATTCTCTAACTGCTGTCTTTCTTTAGTCAGGTTATTGTTGTGGTTCAGTATCTGCTCATATTTGGGAAGGATCTGCTCTCTTTCTTCAGTCAGGTTACTGATGTGAGTTAGTAACTGGTTTCTCTCGGTGGTGAAACACACACACAGCATGATTACAGCAGTCAGCAGAAGAAAACACAGCAGACACAAACACACTATAGGTGCTGCGTGCTTTCTGTTCTCCACTGAGACGCTTCCTGTGGATGACAAACATGAGGCTAAATGTGTCTTCATACTGATACTTCGCTATTATGACATCAAGAACTTTACTATTGCAGTTTCAAAACAATAAGTTCAAAGCTATGAATAGTTAGTTTCTTGTTCACACTTGATTTGAATGTCTTATTTATACAAGCAAAATGCACATGTTGGCATGTGTGCAAAAGAGGAAGTACAATTGCGTGTGATTTTCTAAACGCACCTGGCTTGCTGACCAAAACTGATGAGTTGATTCTCAGAGAAACTGTCATACTCTTCACAACTTCTTAACATTCTCTCATTGTGTGATCCATTCAGTTGTCAAAATTAGTTTGACATACGTGTAAATTCTAAAATATGGCATGGAACGCTTGTGATGTCTGCTAAACTGGCAAATTACCAATCAACCAATCAAGTTGCCAAGCATTTATGTGCTTGCCTTAAATGTTATTTTCTCGCAATTTTCTGTTCACTATATATGACTTTTCATGTAAGAAATGTGAAAAATTGACATGCATATATTAATTTTCTATTTACATATTACACATTACTACAAAAACATATTGTATACATATAAAAATGTGCATATTTTTTTCTGTGCACACAACGACAAAAAATGTTATGTTTTATCATGGCCAGTTAATTGACTGTACAGTATAACTAGCCTTTAAAGTATGATTTTGGGGGGGCTTCAGATATGCATTGGGGTAACACTTTATAATAACTTTCATTTATAAACCATTAACAAACATTATATAATTCTTAATAGATCATTAGTTAATAAATATTCACATAGCTAGAAATATGAGATAATGTTCTTGTTAATGTTTACTAATGAACTTACTAAACATTACCTAATGATTAACATATGATTATGTAATGCAAATTGAAATGCTTACAAATGTCAGTAAACTTTCAGTTCATATGATCTTCATTTGTTGGTCTTTGTTTGTTGTGTAGGCCTCTGTTTACACATCTTAACAAATAATCTATTAATTATTTGTTCATATTTTTGCAGTGCCCAATCTAAAGTGGATAGTATTCATCATTTGCAAATGTTTATAAATGATACTAATCATTAATACCTTTATGAGCAGTCATCTCAATGGCAAAAAGGTGTCCCGAAAGACCTGAATTTACCCTAATCACACATCTTTACAAATCATTTATTAATCATTTGTTCATGTTTTTGCAGGGGGGTGGGGCTTACCGATAGGTCAATTGCACTTACAGTTTAGAGAATGTTAAGACAAAGCAAATGAGAAAAACTACAATACTTCTGTCTGACAGTTGTAACGTGTATCAGATAAATTAAATTACTACCTGTGGTAACATTTTACACTCTAAAAAATGTTGGGTTAAATATAACCCAACGCTGGGTTAAAAAGGGACAAACCCAGCTATTAGGTTGTTTTGACCCAGCGGTTGGGTTGTTTTGACCCAGCGGTTGGGTTGTTTTGACCCAGCTATTGGGTTGTTTTGACCCAGCTATTGGGTTGTTTTGACCCAGCGGTTGGGTTGTTTTGACCCAGCTATTGGGTTGTATTGACCCAGCGGTTGGGTTGTTTTGACCCAGCTATTGGGTTGTTTTGACCCAGCTATTGGGTTGTTTTGACCCAGCTATTGGGTTGTTTTGACCCAGCGGTTGGGTTGTTTTGACCCTGTTGGGTTGTTTTGACCCAGCGGTTGGGTTGTTTTGACCCAGCTATTGGGTTGTTTTGACCCAGCGGTTGGGTTGTTTTGACCCAGCTATTGGGTTGTTTTGACCCAGCTGTTGGGTTGTTTTGACCCAGCGGTTGGGTTCAAAACAACCCAATAGCTGGGTTTGTCCCTTTTTAACCCAGCGCTGGGTTATATTTAACCCATCATTTCTTAGAGTGTAGTATAGTAACCAATTCTCACTGTTAACTAGCTGCTTATTAGCATGCTTATTATTAACATATTGGCTGTTTATTAGTACTTATAAAGCACTTAATCTGCATTACCATATTTTACATCCCTAAACCTACACAATACCTAAACTTAACATCTACACTCTAAAAAATGCTGGGTTCAAAACAACCCAACCGCTGGGTCAAAACAACCCAATAGCTGGGTTTGTCCCTTTTTAACCCAGCATTTTTTAGAGTGTACCTTACTAACTATTAATAAACAGCAAATTAGGAGTTTATTGAGGCAAACGTCGTAGTTAATGGTTTGTTAATAGCAAGAACTGGACCTTAAAATAAAGTGTGACCCTACCGGTGTGCTGAAGTGTCTGGTGTTTCTCTGTGTGTGTCCTGAGATCATGATGTCTGACAGGATCCACACTGTCATAGATATCTATCATCATCTCCACTCTTTCTCGTCTCTCCTCAGTCCACGTCATCACATCATCATAAATAACTTGGGCTATCTCTGATCTCTCAGTGTTGTACATTGTATCTCTGTGTTAATCCTGTAGGTTGTTCTAGTTTCAGATTGTTCAGGCTTCACTTGCTTTAAATTTCATCAGCGAGTCTTTAAAACTGAAGCCGGAACTAAACTCAAAATGAAACTGTCAATGTGTGAATCATGTGACATTCAAGCTGCCAGGACAGGAAGGTGTGATAGGTGACTATTAAAAACAAGGGTCTAAAGATGGATCATATATAATCATGAGTGGCCAGTTGTTCAAAAAGCTTCATCTGGATCAGAATGAGCTGGATTTGGAAATCACATGTTTTGCTATCCAGGATCAGGTTTTTCTTTCCGGCTGGTTTTACAAAGAAATATTGGATTGGATTATGATCCAGATACACACTTTTTCAGATGACCAAATCTGGATTACTAGAGCTCTACGGAGCCCCTAACATGGTGATGAAAAAAAAAATTAGATGGAAAAAATAATATGCCAATGCTTTTCCATTCTCTTAGAAAGAAGTTTTGCATTGCATTTACACAAATAACTACTTCTGACTGGTTCGTCTCTGATGATTGTGCCAATGTAGTTCACAAACAGCGATTTAAAACATCTTAATGATAGATTTGTTTATTACAAGCACACAGCTTTTCACCTCACAGGACATTAATTGATGGACTGGAAACATGTGGTTTACTTTCTGGGATAGCAGAAAATATTTTAATATCCAAAAAATGATCATCAACTTTAATTCAATCAGCATAAGACCTTAAAAACATCAAAATGTACATATAGAGAATTAAGAATGAAACTTTGACAAAAAAATGTAGGCTACCTGAAGTGTAGAGATTAACTTTTTTAAATGGAGTGAGTTACAAAAGATTTTTGATGTTTGATTTCATGCTTCACTGGCTTTCTTTGACTTTACTATAAATGTTTCGCTTTAAAGCACAGGAAGTAGCTCATTTAACACGCCGTCAGAAGTTTGAAGTTAAAAACATCTTAATGATAGATTTGTTTATTACAAGCACACAGCTTTTCACCTCACAAGACATTAATTGATGGACTGGAAACATGTGGTTTACTTTCTGGGATAGCAGAAAATATTTTAATATCCAAAAAATGATCATCAACTTTAATTCGATCAGCATAAGACCTTAAAAACAGCAAAATGTACATATAGAGAATTAAGAATGAAACTTTGACAAAAAAATGTAGGCTACCTGAAGTGTAGAGATTAACTTTTTGAAATGGAGTGAGTTACAAAAGATTTTTGATGTTTGATTTCATGCTTCACTGGCTTTCTTTGACTTTACTATAAATGTTTCGCTTTAAAGCACAGGAAGCAGCTCATTTAACACAGGGAGCGGAAGCGGAGGTCAAAGAAGGCGTAGAGGAGCGGGTTGAGGCAGCTGTTGACGTACGCCAGGCAGGTTGCGTAGGGATGGGCCAGCAGAAGGAGGTTCAGGAAGGTGCAGGAGTCAGGAGCCAGGTTCAGGTACGAAAGGGCATCCATGGTCTTCACAACGTGGAAGGGCATCCAGCATGCAGCAAACACCACCACCAATGTGGTGATGATCTTGAGCAGGCGACGCTTGCGCTGGTCCTCCTTGCGCAAGCTGTTGAAGTGACGTGTGACAGTGCAGCCGATGAATCCGTAGCACACCATCATGGCCAGAAGGGGGATCAGAAAGCCAAGAGCGGTGGAGGAGATGCTGAGGCCGGAGATCCAAAAGGGCTCTTGGCCTGGTTTGCTCACCACCAGGTTGAAGTCCATGGCGCAGGAGGTACGGTTGGTCTCGGCGTCGTACAACGTGGTGCGGAACAGCAGGGTGGGTGCAGCCAGCACACCTGAGAGGAGCCAGATGGTGGCCAGCGAGGCCCGCATGTGTCCTCTGGTCCGCAGCTGTGTGCTGGTGAGGGAGTGAACGATGGCCATGTAGCGGTCCAGGCTCAGGCAGGTGAGGCAGAAGACACTGGCGTACATGTTGAGCAACACCACGTAGCTGCTGATCTTGCAGAGGGCCACGCCAAAGGGCCAGTGGTATCCCAGGGCGGTGTAGACGGCCCACAGAGGCAGGGTCACCACAAAGGTCAGGTCAGCAAGAGCCAGGTTTCCAATGTAGATGTCCGCAGCTCTCCGTTTGGACTGGGCCCTCCATACGGTGAAGATGACCACACCGTTTCCAGTGAGGCCCAGGATGAAGATGAGCATGTAGAGCACAGGAATCAGCGAATATGACGGTTCCCACTCGTCAAAGTCACACATTGAGTTGTTTACTGCCTCGTCGTAGTCGTCTTGGCTGTAGTCAGCAGTCATGTTGTCCATGGCATTCATTCCTCCAAAGATCTTTCAGTGTTTAAAGTATCAGCGATCTAAATGATCACAGAGAATTAGCTTGTGGTGTACTCAGGTCAGAATGTGATTTCAGCTGGACAAGCTGTGGCTTTTAAACCCTCAGGATCTCACACTCCCCTCCCCTCACCCCTGACCCCGCCCCTCACCACACTGCAGCCTCCCAGGAAAAAACCAGCGGATTAGTGATCGAAATATAAAAATAACAAGTAAACACAAATATTTACAAGCAGAACTGCTGAAAAACAGCAGGTAGCCCACATTCACAAAACGGACATCACAGTCGTAAATAATGCTGCAAAAATAGGATAGAGGATTATCTTGATAGAGCTGTTTTACTTTTTTTATGAAGGCTATTTATCGCGAATAAACTATATATATATATAACCTATATCCTTGTGTATACAGTAGTGTGTGTGTGTGTAGGATATATATATATATACTGTATACACAAGGATATAGGTTTATAGTTTACATAGTTACACAAGTTTTACTACTTTTAAAATTAAACATGAAACGTCTCGATCTGACATGTCAGGACCTGTGTTTTTGCCCTGTACGGATAAATTGATATTTTAATGAACGGTTGTGAATGTGTGAACAGCGGTCTATTAGTTGGACGATTCGAGGGCTCTAATTTCCATCCCAATGCGTTTGACATGCTGCACTCACGGACTTGCCCGAACAAGATCACATATGTCCAAATTAATCCGAAAAATGAAAGTTGAGCATCAACAATGCATGTCATAAACGTTTCTTACACATTCTTTCAGTTCTCAGGCTGAATATTACGCACCGTAGCCCATAACTTATTGTAGGATTACTACACAGTAATTTGAACAAAATGCCCAACCTCCGCGTTTTACCTCGAATTTTTTTTACAGAAATGTCTAAGAAATAAATAGTACACTGCCAAAGTGTCAAATAAGAATAGCATACTGAAAGTTACTTTTCATAACACATATTTTGTGCTGAACAAACAGTTTCTTATAATATAACACAACATAGTAAGTAAATAAATACCTTAGCTGTAATTATTTGATACCTTATAATTATTTAAAATAATTATTTTTTAGAACAACCCAACCGCTGGGTCAAAACAACCCAATAGCTGGGTTTGTCCCTTTTTAACCCAGTGCTGGGTTATATTTAACCCAGCATTTTTTAGAGTGTACCTTACTAAATATTAATAAGCAGCAAATTAGGAGTTTTTTTTATAAAAACATCCAAATCAAATCTTTAACTATACTTAAAGTTCATTCGATATTGTAAAGATTCAAAAGTTATACAGTTTATCTTTTAAACAATAAATAAATAAATAGTGAACAATGATCTATCTATCTATCTATCTATCTATCTATCTATCTATCTATCTATCTATCTATCTATCTATCTATCTATCTATCTATCTATCTATCTATCTATCTGCCTGTCTGTCTATCTATCTATCTATCTATCTATCTATCTATCTATCTATCTATCTATCTATCTATCTATCTATCTATCTATC